GAGACCACGGCCATGCTCATTCCCTGGTGGAGACCACGGCCATGCTCATTCCCTGGTAGAGACCACCGCCATGCTCATTCCCTGGTGGAGACCACGGCCATGCTCATTCCCTGGTGGAGACCATGGCCATGCTCATTCCCTGGTAGAGACCACGGCCATGCTAATTCCCCGGAGCTCTTTTCTGTGGTTCATCCCTAAGTTCTGTTCATGAAAGATGTATCCATTAGGTTGACGTTGTTTGTGTTAATGCTTCTTTCGCAGGGGTCTCGCACCTCAGAATAAACCAGAATTGCAGAAGGTGATGGAAAAGAGAAAACGAGACCAGGTAATAAAGCAGAAGGAGGAAGAAGCACAGAAGAAGAAATCTGACCTGGAAATAGAACTATTGAAACGGCAGCAGAAGCTGGAGCAGGTACGGGCCATGGGTGCTAGCTGGCTTTTTTGTCCTGAGGAATAAGGGTGTCAGAACAGGTAGAATTTAGCAGACATGTCAGATGTAGGTGTCTCTACCATGAAGGAAAAATAGGAGACAGATGGCAGCCCATGGGGTCACTTAGATTCAAGACAGGAAACAAGGATCTTGTTGAGGAGGCAAAAACCAAACAGGGAAATGGCCCTGAATTCACACCGAGTGTTGGAGTAATTTAATGACATTCACCCTCATTGAGTCTCGAGAACACTGTGTGTTGATCTCAGGATTTTGTTTTCTTAGCTTTCCTCTACAATTCCTGTCATCTCCTGGTGTTTTCGGCAATAATTGCCAATTCCCTGCTGCTTCTGTGTGGAATTACAGACCTAGATACTTACTTTTTTTTTTTTTCTTCAAGTGGGAGATCAGGAAAGACATTCTTCCTTCTTTGGGAAATGAAGTTCTTACGGACTTGGAAAAGAGAGAGGGGCGTTTTGTAAAGCCTTTCGGCTTGTGAATAATGTTCCTGTTTCTGAATTTGATTTAGCTTGAACTTGAGAAGCAGAAACTCCAAGAAGAGCAAGAGAACGCCCCGGAGTTTGTGAAGGTGAAAGGTAATCTCAGGAGAACAGGCCAAGAAGTCGCCCAAGCCCAGGAGTCCTAGGCAGAGGCTGCACCAAGACCTGTGTCCTGCCTCCTTCACCGCACAGAGCCGTGTCTGTACGTGCCTCCTCAGCACTTAATCTCAGGGCAGAAGCCCCTGGAGAGAATTCGAGCCAGCAGAGAGTTTAACTTTAAAAAGGATTTGGTTTGATTTTCATACAATCTGGGTGGATAAATTGCCTTTGACAGTTGCAGTTCCTGTTCGCCAAATGAAGGGGCCTGCCCAGCACCTAAGTGGTAACAGTGGACCTGTGTTCAGAGACTTAAAACAAACAGCAAAAAGAAAACAAGCAAAAAGAAAAAAGAAGAGGACACTGGAATCAGTTCTTGAGAGTTGCACTACTTGGTTTTCCTTCCATTCCAAGTTTAGTGGGGGGCACAGAGCCTTTTTTCTTTAAAGAGCTAAAAATCTTTCTTTTTTTTTTTTTCTTTTTCATTTTTTTTGAGAGGGTCTCTGTTAGATAATCACATAGAAATGCATTTAATCTGTTACATCCAGCGTTGTCAGTTTTACTTTGCGGATCTCAGATTTGCTTGTTTAATTTATACGTTCACCCATTGTTAGAATTAGCACCAGAAAAAATGTTGAGCACAGCTGTTACCTTTGTTGGCCCTAAAACTTAGAAATAGGGTAAGAAAGTTTAAAAACAAGTGAACACCCATGTTGATCTTATGTTAATTCCTTTTGGTTCTCTGTCCTAATAGTGTGCTGCATATCAACATTCCAGTCCCGAGAAGGTACATCACATAAATTCACTTATGGCTTTGGCAACTAGCAGGGTTGTTGTTCAGTTTTTGTTTTTAAATTTCTTGCTGAGCCGGTTCTGTTAGGTGAAACAATCTCCTGATCCTTTGGAGAGTGGAACTAGTCTGTATAAGCCAGATTCAGTGTCAAAAGCAGAGAGGGTCCAAAATGGGTTCCTTTTTTTTGGGTGGGGGGGAGGAGTTTGGAGAAAGTTCCCATTGGGAGCTGGACAGTGAGGACTTCCGTAGGTATTTTAATGTGAAGCAAGTGTAGATTGTCTCAAGGAGGCTTCATTGGCAGATGGTAGCATTTGAATATCTACTGATAATGAGTATCAATAGAATCCAAGCCTTGAAAATTTCTGAGTTTGATCATCTATTACTTTTCCTTCTTATAATAGTGAAAAAAGATGATTTCACCACTATCTCAGTGATGATGCTGTTGATAGCGATATTGATGACTACTATATCGCTTCTCTCAGGAAAGGCTGAGAGGAAAGGAGGCCCCGCCAAGTTCCTCATCCTAGCTCACATACCATTCCCAGAGAAGCTGCAAATAACAGCCACATTCTCATGCAGATTTAATTTTATCCTGCTGGCCTGGGCGTGAGTTCCTTGTGACATGGGAGAATTTTTGTGGAGGTAGAATGTTCCCTACAGAGACAGTTCACTAATTTCTACATTGGAGACTGGTACACTTTCTGTCAAGACTCACAGAAAACCGGATCCAGAGCTTTTTAGTTTAAATCCTTAATGAGCAGAGTAGAAATCCACTTTCTGTGGGAATGCTTTAGTTTTAGCAGTTTGACAATTAGGCCCATATTCAATCCTAAAGTGCACAAAAGTAAATTCGATGATCATTACACTGCTAGTTAAACATGTCTGTTGATTACACCTGAAATGGAGTGTTTATCTCATCAGCAAGTATTATTTCAATAAAAATAAGAGATTCTTAAGATAAAGTGTTGCTCTATAGTAGTTTGCTTTTGAAGAATGGAGTGGTAACTGTTTCTGTATCGTTCTTCCTCTTTGAGAGAAGTGCGCTAACTGATCATCTCGCAAGTCTATTTCTGACTGCACATTGACTCTAATTCTTTCTTGTGTATATGGACTAAGATGCTACTTATAAAATGAAGATTTGGGGACTGGCTCATAGCTTTTTATCTAACTAGATGTTAGATCTTTAGATCTATATCCTGGAAGCAATTCTGCCACTTGGTAAAATTCTCACGGGCCCTGACTGCCTCCTTTAGAAGGACCGATTGATTCTATTCCCAGAACTGAACTAGAATTGATTCTCCACTGGGAAAAAGTTAATGAAAAAGGCATTTCTTTCCTAATCTCACTGAAATTCTGCAGCATTATCTGTAGTTAGTAATACAAGATCTGGCCAAAAGAAGACCTGTAAATAGTGTGAAGTGGTGTCTCATGCTGAACTGGGGTGTGGGGCAGGGAGGGAGCCCCTGGAAGGGGTCAGAGCAGCTGGGCTCACAGGCTTCGACCTCCCCTCCCACCTTAACACTCTGCAGTGTGAACCCTTAGGACTCTCAACCGCTGAGTAGTTCTATGCTTTGAGCCACTTTTTGACAAAAATGGCTCCATTTTTCCACTCTGGTTTTCTTAAAATAGTCCCGTGTTTTATAGTCTCACAGTAGTAAAGTAGTGTTGCTTTCTAAGCTATAACAGTTGACTTTATTCTTCTACTCTGAAAAATCTTGACTTGTTGAGTGTATATAATATATATAAAGGGAGCCTTAATGGATTTGTTTTCATAATTTAATATTTTTTGTATTTGCTCTTGTATAATTGTTTTTAATGGAAAGTATTACAGAATTGAGGGTGGAATTCTTAGAACCAAAGTTATTCTTAATAAAAATCACCACATGCTTGGACCATGCAACCCATGTGTGTCTAATCTGTTCAAGGTGGACATCTGGGACGGGAGGGGGCTGTGTTCAGTTGAAGGGTGAGAAGATTGTTTTAGGGTCAGCCACTGGGGACTGTCGCCTCTGACAGCCTTTCCCTCAAATCAGTTATGTCCTTCATCTTGTGTAAGTCAAGACTGAGAGTTGTTATGTGTAACAGAGTCATGCTAAGGTAGCGATGGGGTGCCGTAGCCCACACTTTGCATAGAACATAAAGCGCTGTAGCAACAGCCATCAATTCTCAACTGAAAGTATTCTGAATTTTTGGCAGCTTAGTAGGACAGTGGGAGGCATATTTTGGGAAGGGCCAGTTTTTAGTGCTCGTGAGTTGGTTACACAGGGCGTATCTGGATTGTGATGATGATTTTTTTTGGTTTGTTTATTCAGCTAAACACAAAGAAGAATGGAATGTTACCCCAAAGAAGTTAACTTTGAGGAGTTCTACACAAGAATTTATTAAAGAATCCGGCACAAAAATAAAACTGCAGAAGTATTAGAAGAAAATATAAGGGAATATTTTTATAGTCGTACGGATGGAAGGAGGCTTTCCCAAGCAAGACCTCTAACTTCAAATCTATAACAAAGAGAACTGACAGATTTAGTAAAAATTAAACACTTTTGTATAAAAAATAATCTCAAGAAGTAACAGACTAAGATATACTGTATTTTGCCATGTATAATGTACATACGTGTTTCGGGCCCAAACTTTCAGGGGAAAAGATTGTTTTAATTTTTTAATTCAATTTTTTGTCTGTTTATATCTAAGTACTTGTTTTTTTGTATTATATAAATCATAAATTAGTACTTGTTTTTGTATTATCAGTTATTATTTAATATTTATTTTTTGACAGAGTATGGTACAAGACATTTTATCTAACAAAGAATTATGAGACACCAGAACAGATGGAAGGTACAAGGGATTTTCCCATAATTTTTGTAAAAATATCAGCTAGATTGATAGCTCCCACCTCAAATATACAAGAGAAACACGTTGGTCTTCAGTGGCTGAAAGTGTTTCCATTGAAACTTCAAGGTAAGTTCAACAAAACCGATTACCATATTCTAAGGTATTATTTTGCATTTGGGTATCATCATCATTGCTTTCTAGAGTTGCACTTTTACTGCATAAGCATTATTAAAAGAATTAACATTTATGTAGATACAGAATTAGTGTTCCCCATGTATAATGGGCATCTCTATTTTTCTCTCAAAAATTTGGACAAAAAAGTGTGCATTATACGTGCCAAATTATAGTAGTACATGTATGCCAGTGAATGAATGATATTTAATTTTACATACAAAATATCTGTAAATTCAATTTAGTAAAAAATAAACTCAGTATATGAACAGGCAGTTCATAGGCAATGAAATACAAATGATTCCCCAACCTATGAAGAGATAACTGTCATTAGTACCAGAAAAATGCAAATTAAAACAACAATCAGATGACTTTGCAGAAATATTCACAGAGCAGTTAATAGATTGATAATAGCTATTGCTGGTAAGGATTTGGAGAAGCAGGTATTACATATACCCTTTCACGGGGAGTGCGAGTTAGTAAAGCAAATGTAAAGACGTAAATATGTCTTCACACCCACTGGAATGCCTATAATAAAAAATGACAGAAAATAACAAGGATTGGTGAGGATGTGGAGAAAGTGAATGCCTTATTGCATTGCTGGGGAGGTTGCAAAATCGTGCAGCCACTTTGGCAAAGTTTGTCAGCTTCTCTTAAAAAGTTCATCATAGATTCATCGTATAACCTAGCCAGTTTCACTCCTAAGTATCCATTCAGGAGAAGTGAACACAGTCTGGTATGCAAACGTTTATGACAAGATTAGTCATACTAACTAAAAGCTGGAATCATCTCAAGTGTCCGTCAATTAAATGGATAACTAGCATGTGGTAATTCATGCAGTAGAGTCCTACTCATTCATAAAAAGGAGCAAAGTACTGATGTGCTGCCACACAGATAAACCTCTGAAATAAAACCTGTAAACAGGCAGGCATCTTTTGACACATGACCTTGATTTTTAGGAGTTTGACCTTCAGAAATATTCATGTCCATAGAGATTGTTCTCCAAAGATATATTTGCGTCATTTCTTGTAATTTCTCTTGGATGCAATCCACCTACCTCATAATGGTTGACTAGATTAAGTGTAATATATCCTTATTCTCTTTATGGACTTTATTTTTAGTAATAAAAATAATTAGGCTCAGCACAGTGGCTCACCCCTGTCATCCTAACACCCTGGGGGGCCACGCAGGTGGATTGCTTGGGCTCACAAATTTGAGACCAGCCTGAGCAAGAGTGAGACCCCATCTCTACTAAGAAAATAGAAGAAAACTAGGAGGGCATCGTAGTGGGCACTTGTAGTTCCAGCTACTTGGGAGGTGGTGGCAAGTGGATCACTTGAGCTCAAGAGACAGGGGTTGTTGTGAGCTGTGATGAAGCCATGGGACTCTGCTCAGGGTGACAGTAAGACACTATCTCAAAAAAAAAAGTATTAAAAATAATAAGATTGTTAAACATATAAATAAGACCTTGCAACTATACTGTTAAAAAGCAAGCTATAGAGCAATGTACGTAGTATAGTCTCATTTACATGAAAAAACTTCAAAAGTATACAGATCCATATATCTATATAAATCAAATATAGTAACGGGTTATTCTGGGGAAGGAAAGACATTTAAAGTCAGAAATAAAGGGGGGCTTCCCTATTTAATGTGCCTTTTAAAATACATTTTTAAAATTTTGTATAATAAGGATGTGTCTTTGAATCATCAGTGCTTAAAAGGGCAGAAAGGGAGATCAGGCACGATGGCTCTTACCTATAATCCTAGCATTTTTCAGAAGCCAAGGAGGGAAAGATCACTTGAGGCCAGGAGTTCAAGACCAGCCTGAGCAAAAGCAAGAGCAAGGCCCTGTCTCTACAAAAAAAAAAAAAAAAGAAAGAAAGAAAGAAAGAAAGAAAAATAGGCAGGTGTGGTGGCAGGCACCTGTAGTCCCAAATGCTTCAGAGGCTGAGGCAGGAGGATCCCTTGAGTTCAGTTCAAGGTTGTAGTGAGCTGTGATGATGCCACTACACTCTAACCTGGGTGACAAAGCAAGACTCTGTCTCAAAAACAAAAAAAGCATAAAAGCAAAGAAAAACTTGTGAAATAAGTCTCCTTAATGCAAAATTATCTAACATCTAGATATTGTTAATGTTGTAATTATTAGTGTGTCTGTGTACACAGTACAGTGAGAGATTACAACAGAGTAGTTCAATGTTCTATAGACAGACCTATAATTGACATAGTCGCAGGAAAAAAAGGGTCCAGTGAAAAAAAATGAAGAGAAGTTTAGATTCCAGAATGGCAGCGAGGAGCATAAACGTTAGGAGTTTAGACCCTTCGTGGGCTCCGTAGGGCTGAAGAGAGACCCAAGCCAGGGCTCCTCGAAGGGATCTGAGGGGTGTAGGTTAAGCCATGGAAACAGCCTCCATCACCCTTTCACCTTCTCCTCTGCTCCTGGAATTCAAATTAGTCTGGTTTTCCCTGCTACAGTTTCTGTTGTCTGGGATCAAGGTGATTTGGAACGTGAGGAAATGGCATCTCTGTGATGAAATACTGACACGCTGCACACAGGGCCTGAGGAGAGCTTTGGGTTGGCCTAGCAAGGTCTTCCTGGCCAATGTTCTTTCTCTCCTGAATGACGGTGAAACTTCTATGTCCCTTCTCCCTTGATTCCGGGGGAGACGTCGTCATCTGACTAAGAGCAGGTTTATTACTCCTTGCGTTCCTCCTGGTTGAATATTTGGGATATAAGCATCGGAAAGGAGCTGCCAAGAGCTGAAGAAGTTATGCCTCAGGGCCCGTTAGGAAGCCTGTGAGCAGGTGAAGCAGAGACTGGTTAGAATGGAATTCGCCGCAGAGATGGAAGCTCGAGGCGCCATCACCTGGGTACCTCAGTCGAACCTACTGATTCACTGAGGTGGCAGGAAACAGTAGCACCTGTTAGCCAGAGGGCAGCAGAAAGGGAAGGCAGTGTGATGACAAACACCTACGGCTCCTCAGCAGGGCGAGACCTTCCACGACGGACTGGGAACTGGAGTCAGGGTTTATAGGCAGCCTCCTCAACGTTGATAACCACCCCAGGACTCAATGAGGAAAATATTCCCTCTGTAAATTCAGGTGAGCAAAGGGAATTTTCTGGCCACTGCAACTTTAAAGTGGCGTGTGGGTGCCTTGTTATTTGATGGGGATGTCCCAGTCAGCCATCTTTGTCTTCCCCCTGACTCTTCCTCCTCCGTGATTTCAGTGTTCCTCAGAGATAAGCAGCATTTCAATTAAGTACAAGTGCTTGCCAGGTATGTTTACAAGCCACCTTGCTGGGAGCCAGTTCCAGCTCCTGGGGTTGTTAATAATCTTGTTCAGAGATAAGACACTGCATAAGATGTAATGAAACATACCGGGCATTAAATAAAAGGCCACACGAATACTTAGAAGATAGGAACCATAGGAACAAATTAAGAAAGGAGAATACACAACTATGGTTTTATTGCTGGATAGATACTCAATAGTAACGATCTCCCGAGGGAGGCGGTGGAGGTTAACGGTTGGAGGGACGTTTTACGTTCAATGTGAATTTTATTTATTCTTGATTTCCCTCTCTGCCTCTCAGACTGTACTTCAAAAAATACAATGTAGCTGGTTGAAGACCTGGTTCTTATGAGTAGCAGTAATAGGGCCTCAGGGAGTGGATATAGCCAGAAAGAGAAACAGCAAATAAGCCCGCAGCCACCCCCTTCTGGAGCAGCTTGCAGGGTTGCTAGGTAACACCTGTCCTTTATTCCCCATGAACTTCCTGAGGTGCTTGAGGTTAGGCTGTGGGTGAGTTCTGATTTGTTTCCCAGCATTGAAATCTGAAGCACCCATGTGGTTTGCGGCAATGTCGTCAGTAACAACCAAATGGCAGGCCCTCCCCGCGCA